ATATATATATATATATATATATATATATATATATATATATATATATATATATATATATATATATATATATATATATATATATATATATATCTCGGAGAAAATGCCTCTCTTGGTTGAATACTTAAAGATTATGTCATAGATACTTAGTCAAAAATATTGCAACTCACTGTAAAGATGGTTGAATTCTATACAAATCTTGGATCCCTTTTTCTTTGTTTGATTTTAGTACATATCTTAGCCTCTTCTTCTTCCCAGAAGAACAAAATCTGGTGATCTGTTCAGACGTCAGATTTGTAGGGCACTCACAAGTTGAACATGACCTACAAACCTTGGAACTGGCCATGGATGTTCTCACATCTTTCGCTACAGTACCCAGCAGATTGACTTCACCAAAGATGATGATGATATCTTACATTATTAGTGCAGATTAATTTGGCACAGTCATGAAGGGATTATGTGGCATCTGACATTTCATGCCCTTTTCTACTGCAAATGACAGCTTGAAGCACAAAATGATGTAAGAGTCAAAGATGAATCTGAACTCTTTAAAGTGTGGCTGGCAGTCTCCTTCCATCTTAGCCAAAGTCCAAACAATATGACAACAGTTGGTTAGCTGAATCTTTGACTAACTACATATAGAACCTCCTCAAAACCATGTTATGATAGTTCCAACTTTGATTGCCTTCACAACCTAATTGATTCAATGATGAACTTTGAGTCCATGTATAAGCTCACGCAATTAGCACATCAAGTCAGGAAAAACATCTTTCTCATAGATATGGTCATCTCCCTTTTCTCAGAGAATCCAAATGCTGCTACGTTCTTAGAGATTCATGAACCAGTTGGGTGGAAAAAGGCACTTTGTGTCACACACACACACTCTCTCTCTCTCTCTCTCTGAACAATGGATGGAGCTTAGAGAGCATAAATATGGCATCATGTAACCAAAGAGTAAGAGAAGGAAGCTAAGGACTGCACATCGAACTATTACTTTGAGATATCTTACAAGTCCACATTGTCCATGTCTTAAGTGATCAAGATCTTCATGAACAATCGTCTTAGAAACACACATTCATCTTGACACCTGCATCAATCGATTCTTCCATCATTCACAGCAGATGCTTCCTACTCGAGAAAGAATTGATGGCTTGGTTAAGGCCTGTGTGAAGGTCTCGGTGACGACGGAAGCAAGAAGAACTCATCAGACATTTGCAAGCGGCCACCGAACCCATTCATCTATAGACACCTCCCACCATAGCCTGCATTCCTCAAGAGCGCTTGCTTGATGTCCTCGGCGCCGACGACCGCCCACCGATCTATGCCCTGCAGTTGACGGCAGACCACCGTGAACAACAGCTCATGGCCGGAGCGAAACGGGTCCGGTGTAGATACCTACCTCAGAGCAAGAAGCCTGCAATCCGAAGTCACTGAAGCAACTCACGACACATTGTTGGATCTCAAGCCCCAAGGCCTCCAGTGTGTTCACCGTCGACAGCAGCAGGCCTGGCTTTGCCGCGCAGCAGATCTCGATCCGTGTGTCGCTATCTCTTCTCTCCACGTCGAACTGCATACAGGATTGATTGTTCTTAATCTGTCGATGGCATTCAGCTTGAACCGAGCACAAGGCCCTCTCTGTATCTTACCTTGGGGGACTTCCTCGCTAAGATCTCGTTGGTGCTCAGTAGATTCGGCTGTTCTGGGCCGACGTCCATCTCCTGCTGCAGGCGTTTGACCCTCTCCATGAGCTCCTTCATGTAGTCGATGGTGTCGCCCAGAATGGATGTTCTGTCCATCTGTTGGATCCAGATTTCTATCAGTCCATCTCGCAGCAGAATCTATGGGGTTCTGAGGTACTTCACCTTGCTAATCTTAGGGACGACGGACCGCAGCATGGAGAGCCGGTCGTTGAGTCTCTTCCTTCTCCGCCGCTCCGCCATTAAGTTCTTGGAAGGCATCCCCTCGAGCTTCTTCTTCTTCTTCTTTTTCCTCTCCACACAGCCATCCAACCGAAACATCGCCGGCTCCACCTTGCGAGCGAGGCCAAGCTCGCCGTCATCTAGCGAGGAAGACTGGATCTCCGGTGCCGGCGCCGAGTACGGGCCGGCGATCGGACAGCATACGTCACTCAAACCGTCGAAATTAGGCTCCACGGTCACGTCGAAAGCCGGCGGAAAGCTCAGGGGAGCCAACGCGTGTGGGCTGATCTGCTGGAAGCAGTCCAAGCCGCCGTCGCAGGGGAAGAAGAACTCGCCCATTCCAGCTGGAAACGAGTCAGAGTCCCAATCGTCTCTTCTCAGGGCGAGCAGCTCCTCCAGGAAGCCATGCTCATCGAGCTCCATTCCTTGCCTGCCCTACGGCGAGGAACACTGTATCTGCAACCTTAAAGAACAATTATTCTCCGCACTAAATGCAATATAGTATGCAGTAATGTACGGTGGCATTGCACCACCATCAATCGGAATGGAATCTGCTTCCACTACCTCTCTCTCTCTCTCTCTCTCTCTCTCTCTCTCTCTCTCTCTCTCTCTATGTGGTCGCTTTCACGGAAATCTGCAATCGTAGAGGGGGTGATATAATAATGGGAAGGCCTGCGAGGGGTTGGCCCGCAAGCGTGACGGAAACGAAAAGGAGGGGGAGAGGAGGGAGCAGAGGCCGTGTCAGGTTCGCAGCACACGTACGACCGATCGCGACAATATCGCTGGGTGGACACGCACCACCGTAACAGGTAACGGCAAGACGACGGGGTCGGGTGTGGTTGGCTTGGGAGGGAAGCGGGTGGGTGAGCGACTTGGCAGGACGTCGGCCTGGCGCAGGGGTGCAAGTTGGCGGTGTGGCCGCCTTGGTGGTGGTCGCTCCTCTGGGCTACTCTTGGGATGCCTCTTTGTCTCCATCTCCATGTGAACACATCCCTTGTTTTGCTACTCAGACAAAGCCCATCTCATTTATCTCATCTTAGTAGCTCGATATCCCAATTGAGTCTCACATCTGGTGTTCTTCCTCCTGCCGCATTTTGTATCGAGTTAAGTGTCTGTCTATTTTATGATGCCTTGACTCCATTATTGTGCATCAGCAACTCGATTCCGTCCGTGACGCTTCCATGATCAGTACATGGGGTACCGGCTTGCATGACTGACGGTCAATCGTTGAGGAAGGAAACACTAGTCAACAACTGTTTTGTTTAAAGGAACAAGTAATCAATCAACTTGAATCCCCTTCCTTCCCAGTAATAGATAATACGTGGGGGGATGTGGTAGCTGCTCGATGGACTCATCCCAGCACATAGGGTCCACTGGGTGGTGCAGAAAACCACGGCGGGGCAACTCCGGCAGCCCACAATATTGTGCACACCAACCCTTCAATACCACCCGACGCCCGGCTTCTTGGTTTTGTCTTTGTTTGAGTGCTTGGGTAGGTGGGAGATGGGAGACATGGGACGTGGGAAGGTTAGGGAGAGGTACAGACCACAGTAGGAACCATTTCTTTGCTTTTTGATAGATGCAATCAGACGGGGAAACAGATGGGGACTTCCGGATTTCCGAGAGAGAAGAGAGAGAGAGAGAGAGAGAGAGAGAGAGAGAGAGGAAATGATTGAAAGGGATAAAACAAGAATAGCAGCAA